TCGGCTTAGCTAAGCCCCCGGCTAGCCATGCGCCACAGGCCCCCCCTCTTTGCTCTTAGCTCGCCACGCCGGCCTTCGCTCGCTGCTCCTGCCCGGGGCCAGCTGGCTTCGCTCCGTCGCTTGGTGCCTACGTATGCAAATTAACCGCCATCTTTCTTGGCGGTTAACCACCATCTTTCTTGGCAGTTAATTTGCATATCACCCTGATTAGCCAATGGGAAGCGTAGTGAAGGTATGGTCAATTGCCCTTTTTGTCTTTTATTAGATAGGATTATGTATAACAAGATACTATAGAAATTAAGTTGAAATTTTTATTAAAACGTTTCTTACATACCATTATATTGGCTGGGCCGCAAAAATATACGTTGTGGGCCGCATGTGGCCCGCGGGCCGCAAGTTTGACATGTTCTACAAGTTCAAGAAGACTGAAATCATATCAAGCATCTTCTCAGATTACAATGGAATGAAATTAGAAATCTGAACTACAGTAAAAACACTCAAAAACATTCAAATACATGGAGGCTATTAAACAATGAATGGGTTACCAATGAGATCAAGAAAGAAATCAAAAACATCCTGGGAACAAATGAAAATCAACACAAAACAACGCAAAATCTCTGGGACACAGCAAAAGCAGTGCTGAAACGCAAGTTAATAGCAATACCGGCTTACCTCAAAAAGCAAGAAAAATTAATAATAAACTTAACCATACAACTTAAAAAACAAGAAAAGCCCAGAGTAAGTAGAAGGAAGAAAATAATAAAGATTAGATCTGAAATGAATGACATAGAGGGTAAAAAAAAAACACAACATGCCGTAACCGGTTTGGCTCGAGCGTCGGCCTGCGGACTGAAGGGTCCCAGGTTCAATTCCGGTCAAGGGCATGTACCTTGGTTGCGGGCACATCCCCAGTGGGAGGTGTGCAGGAGGCAACTGATCGATGTTTCCCTCTCATCGATGTTTCTAACTCTCTATCCCTCTCCCTTCCTCTCTGTAAAAAAATCAATTAAAAAAACAAACAAACAAAACAACAACAACAACAAAAAAAAATCAATGAAACCAATCTGGTTCTTTGAAAAGATAAACTAGATTGATGAACCATTAGCCAGATTCATGAAGAAACAAGAGAAAGGACTCAAATAAATAAAAAGAAACGAAATCAGTGTAGTAATGACACAAAAGAAATACAAAGGATTGTAAGAAAATACTATGAACAACTATGTGCCAATAAGCTGGACAATGAGGATGAAATAGACAAATTACTAGAAAAATACAATCTTCCAAAACTCAAACAGGAGGAATCAGTAAACCTGAATAGGCCAAAGAAATAGATGCAGTAATGAAGAAACTCCCAGCAGATAAAAGCCCTGATCCAGACGGCCTCACAGGGGAGTTTTACCGAACCTTCAAAAACACAACTGACACCTATCCTCCTCAAACTATTCCAAAAAATTCAAGAGGAAGGAACACTTCCAACCTCTTTTCATGAAGCCAGCATTATCCTAATTCCAAAACCAGATAAAGACACCACAAAGAGCCCTAGCCGGCTTGGCTCAGTGGATAGAGCGTCAGCCTGCGGACTGCAGGGTCCCAGGTTTGATTCCCGCCAAGGGCACATGCCTGGGTTGTGGGCACAATCCCAAGTAGGGGGTGTGCAGGAGGCAGCCAATCAATTATTCTTTCTCATCATTGATGTTTCTATCTCTCTCTCCTTCTTCCTTCCTCTCTGAAATCAATAAAGAAATATATATATTTTTTTTTTAAAAAAAGACACCAGAAAGAAAGGAAATTACAGGCCAATATCCCTGATGAACACAGATGCTAATATCCTCAACAAAATATTAGCATATCGGGTCCAGCAATACTTTAAAAAGATCATACCATGACCAAGTGGGATTTATTTCAGAGGTGCAAGGCTGGCACAATATTTGCAAATCAATAAATGTGATACATCACATAAACAAATTGAAAGACAAAAATCACATGATCATGTCAATAGAACCAGAAAAAACATTCGACAAAATCCAACACCCATTTTTGATAAAACTCTGAGCAACGTGGGAATAGAGGGACCATATCTTAACATAATTAAGGCCATATATAACAAACCTACCGACAACATCATATTCAATGGGAAAAAAATAAAACCATTTTTCCTGAGATAGGAACAAGACAGGTCTGAATTCACCACTCTTATTCAACACTAGAGGCCTGGGGCATGAAATTCATGAACGGGGTGTGGTGGGGAGGGGTCCTCTCTGCCCAGCCTGCACCCTCTCCAATCCGGGACCCCTCGGGGATGTCCAACTGCCAGTTTAGTCCAGGATCGGGCCTAAACCGGCAGTCGGACATCCCTCTCACAATCCTGGACCACTGGCTCTTAATTGCTCGCCTGCCTGCCTGCCTGATTGGCCCTCACTGCCTCTGCGTGCCAGCCTGGTCGCCCCTAACTGCCCCCCCCTGCAGGCCTGGTCACCTCCAACTGCCCTCCCCTACAGGCCTGGTCGCCTCCAACTGCCCTCCCCTACAGACCTGGTTGCTCCTACCCCCCCCCCCCCGCAGGCCTGGTTGCCCCTAACTGCCCCCCATTGCTGGCCAGGTCAACCCCAACTGCCCCCTCCCTGCCGGCCTGGTCACACCCAACTGCCCCCCGTGCCGGCCTGGTCACCCCTCATGGCCCCTCCACCGGCCTGGTCGCCCCACGCAGCCTGCTGTTCAGTCATTTGGTCATCCCTCAGTAACCCCCCTGCCGGCCTGGTCGCCCCACGCAGCCTGCTTGTTCAGTCATTTGGTTGTCCCTCACTAACACCCCCTGCTGGCTTGGTCGTAGGCAGCCATCTGTGAGGGCGTGAGGGTTAATTTGCACATTACCTGTTTATTATATAGGAAGGATAATACTGGCAAGGATGTGGAGAAAGGAGAACCCCAGTACACTGATGGTGGTAATGCAAACTGGTGCAGCCATTATGGAAAACAGTATGGAGTTTCCTCAGAAAATTAACTATGGAACTGCCATTTAACCCAGTGGTCCCACTTCTAGGAATATATCCTAAGAAATCCGAAACACTAATCTGAAAGAATGCGTGTAATCCTATGTTCACAGCAGGACAATTTACAATACCCAAGATCTGGAAACAGCCCAAGTGCCCATCAGTAAATGAGTGGATAAAAAAGCTGTGGTACATTTATACAAAGGAATACTATGCAGCAGTAAAAAAGGATCTCTTACCCTCTGAGACAGAAGGGTCCTGGAGAGTATTATGCTAAGCAAAATAAGTCAGTCAGAGAAAGATAAGCATCACATGTTCTCACTCATATGGGGAATCTAATGAACAAAATAAACTGATGAACAGAGTGGATACAGAGTCATAGAAGCATGGCACACACTGTAGAATCTCAGAGGGAAGGTGGAGGTGGGGTGGGTAGGTAGGAAGAGATCAACCAAAGACCTTGTATGCATATATGCATAACCCATGAACACAGACAGTAGGGTGTTGAAGGTCTCAGGTGGGTCATGGGAGCGGGTTATAAGGGGTCAATGGGGGGGGGGGGAGGGCATAGTAATACTTTCAACAATAAAGATTTAATTAAAAAAAGAAAATTATCACTTTCCAACCCCTGAAGAAAGTACCCTTTCAGACAAGAATTATTTATTACTAGAGGCCTGGTGCATGGATTTGTGTACAGGTGGGGTCCCTCAGCCTGGCCTGCGTCCTATCGCAACCTGGGACCCGTCAGGGGATGTTGGACTGCCGTTTTCGGCCCAATCTGGCAGTCCGACATCCCTCTAGGGATGTAGTAATGTGCGAAGTAGCAGGTGGCTGGGGTGCCACTCCTGCTCATCCCACCCTGCTGCGCCTGCCACTGCCACTTGGTAGTGCTGCCATGGTGGCAGGAGAGGTTCGCACCGCCACAGCTGCACTTGCCAGCTGTGAGCCTGGCATCTGGCGCCATTTGGTCGGCTGAGCCACTAGGGGGCAGCTCCTGCGTTGAGCATCTGCCCCCTGGTGGTCAGTGCATGTCATAGCTAGTCATCCGGTCCTTTGGTCGACTGGTTGTTTAGGCTTTTATATATATACTAGAGGCCCAGTGCCTGTTTCCTCCTTTAAAAACAAACAAACAACACTTTAACTTTTGAATATATACTAAATTCATAGTTAGAAAACAAACATAAAAAGGTATTTGCCTTTGCCCCATCTATCCTTGTACCACTACCCTCAGCCCAGCCTGCACCCTCTCCAATCCAGGACCCCTCGGGGGATGTCCAACTGCCAGTGACAAAAAGGGAAAAATATAATCTTTAATGATTGCTCAGTCATATAGTATGTCTCTCCTGATATTATGCAATTTGAAGATCATTACCTACTTATTCTGTCCCTAAAATGTCACAATTGAAATTTTTTAAAAATATCAGAGGTTCTGAATTAGGACCATGAGAAAGTAACCACCATAGAAATCAAAGAACGAAGTTCCTGAAGGTGGTGGTGATGAGTTTCTAAGATGAATGTAACTTGAACACAGAAAGCTAACTTCTTCATTCCAATTATAAAAAGAAATGCCCCTCACCCCAAAATGTTTAAAGGTGGAAATAAGAAAGGAGCATGTACACATCTGAATCTTTCAGAAATTTCTACCAGAAACAGTACAAATAACTATACTATTTCTGAGAAAGTACTATTTTGCACATGGCAATAACAATACTATTTAACATTTATCCAGTACTTACTATATATCAGGAACTATTCTATAGAATTCAGAACTCCATGATCTGCACAACCACCCTGTGAATCTAATACTATTATTTTCTCTATATTACTAGATGAGAAATTGAGGCACAAGGTTTAAGTACCTAAGGTTACCAAGGTACAAAGTGGCAGAGGAAGGAGTTAACAGAGGCCGTCTGACTCCAAAGCCTGTTTCTTCCTTTAAAAACAAACAAACAACACTTTAACTTTTGAATATATACTAAATTCATAGTTAGAAAACAAACATAAAAAGGTATTTGCCTTTGCCCCATCTATCCTTGTACCACTACCCCCAACAGAGATAGCCACTTTTATTAGTGTCTGGTGTATCTTGAGTTTTTTAATGGAATATATATATATATATAATTTCTCCCGCTTCTTACTCCAAATGAAGCATATCATACATTCTGCATCTTGCTTTTTTCACTTAATTTATTTTTTGATTTATTTCAAGTGTCAGTATACAGAAAGCTTCCTTTTCATTCTTTTGTACAGCTGCATATTATTCTGATCTGTAGATGTACCATAATTTTATTCAATCAGTCTCCGAATGATGGGCAAGAATTGTTTCTAATCTTTTCCTATGCCAAACATAAATGAAATGAACAACCTCTTACCTGTATAATTCAATGCAAATGCAGATACATTTGTAGGATTAATTTCCAGATATGAAACAGCTGGCTAAAAAAAAAAAAACATTTGCAATTATAGATATTGCTGAATTGTCCTTCCCAGGCCAGCTCCATGCTAATACTAATACTATTTAAATTTCCAAGGATTTATATTTTCAAATATGTTACCAGTGGGTTCTCACATCCCCATGCAACTCCTTTTCTTTTTCCATTTTATTGGCTATTCTAGCTTGTCTATTTTTCCATATGAAGTGTAGAATCCAATTATCTAGTTACAAAGGGGCAGGGACTGTAGATACTTTAATTAGGATCACTTTAAATTAATAAATTTACTTAAGTTTGCAGACACTTCCTTAGATATTCCTATTGAAAAACATGGTATATCTATTTGTTCACATCTAATGTTACACCCCTTAGTATTTTTAAATTCTTTTCTAATAGTTTTGCCTATTTCTCAAGTTTACTCCTCAATCTTCGATTGCTCTTGTAAATAGCGGTTTCCTTCTGTTATGTCTTCTAACTGTTGTTGTTTGTCTATTTTAATTTAGTGCCCAATAACTTCAATTCTCTTATTATTAAAAATGTGAGGGATAACTGTGGGTGGATTCCTTACAAAAAGCATCTTTGCAAGCAAAAGTAACTTTTTTCATTACTTCACAAATTCTATACAATCTAAGAACACCTCGATTCATTTAGGAGTTAGGACACCTAGAATCTACTCCAGACTCACGGATAAAGATTGCAACTAAAATGTCTTCAAAGAAGGAAGTAACTGTCTAACCTAGGACCCCAAACCCTTGACTCCCTAATCCTGGGCTTTCTGCGCTGTACGGCGCTGCTTCTCAAACTGCAACGCTGATACTTGGTCCACGATTTAATAGCAACCCTATTTAAGTACCCCCAAAATCAGGGGAATCAGACCGTCTGAAGCAGGCGCTCTCAAACAAAAAGTTCCTTTGAAACATTCTTGGTTGCTTAAAAAAATCACGGTGAGTTGCAGAAATGCGGTTTTATATAAAAATCCATTTTAAAAGTATTTACCACTTGGCTCCTCCCCGCCCTTCAAATCGTCAAGGAAAACTGATGCTCCAGGAAGATGGCACCGTTATCAGCAGCACTTTCGACAAGGGAAGTGCTTCTCAAATGTTACTACCTCAATGCTGGTCTCCCATAGCTCCCTCTCAAACTCATCCATACACAATCCTGCAACCAGTTTCTCACTCAATAACCTCAAACATTCGGTCAAACTGAGGGTCACACACGCTCGAATCCTCCTCGGAGGCCCCCCCAACCCCACCCCACAGGCAGGCCAGAAGCTCTTAAACCCACTCCCTCTCCCCCGCGCCGTACCCCAATACACCCGGAATCTCCCCTTTAACCTCCCGGACCCGACCGGCCCAAAACCCCCACATCCCACCTCCTACTTTCACGCCACGTGGACCCAGGGGCCGGCTGACCAGAAGACAAAGACCAAAATGTCCACTCGGTGCGCTGCGCCTGCGCG